AGTAATTGTACCATTATTCAGTGGGCCATTTCAACCTCTAAACTAAACTCCTTCAGTTCTGAGAAGGATTCTTTTTTTTTTTTTTTTGAATTAGCACTTGAATGTTCGCAGCAGCATTATTCATAACCCAGAACTGCACACAACCAAAATGCCCTCCTGTGGGTAAATGGGCAGACAAATTGTGGTCTATCCATACAACGGAATTTTACTTGGAAATTTAAAGAAATGAAGTACTGACTCATGCTACAACATGCGTAAACCTGGAAACTTGTTAAGTGAAAGAAGCCAGTCACAAAAACCCACGGACTGTATGATCCCATTTATATGAAATGTTCAGAATAGGCAAATGTATGTATAGAGAAAGTAGATTGTTGTTGCTTCACATTTGAGGTGACAATGGGCTTAGCTATAAATGGGCACAAGGAGTCCATCTGGGAGATGAAAATGATCTAAACTGAATCATGATGATGGTTATTCCACTTCACAGAATTCCTAAAAATCATTGAGTTCTATGCCTGAAATGGGTGAAAGCTATATGTGAAATGTATCTTGATAGAAGTGGAAAAAATTATTTTTATTTTTATTTTTTTTAAAAGAAGAGGAAGAAAGAGAAAGAGGAAGAGGGAGAGAAGATGGGGGTATTGCTTTATTGCCCAGGCTAGAATGCAGTCTAAATATGGGTATGCCTATAATTGTCCCTAATAATGGAGACATGAAAGAAAATGTGGGAAGAGAATAACAAACAAGGAGCCAACCAAGATTTCATTTAAACTTCTAAATTGATATGATGTGGTACTGATAAGAGTGTATATTTTGTGTATTTAAAGTGGAGAGTAAATGTTAATTACATTTACTTGTTCCAGATCTGAGTTCAAGACCTGAATATCGTTGTTAATTTTCTGTCTCATTGATCTGTCTAATATTAATGTTGAAGCCTCCCACTATTATTATGTGGGAGTCTAAGTCTCTTTATAAGTCCTATATGTCTAGGTATTCCTGTATTGGGTGCGTATATATTTAGGATCTTTAGCTCTTCTTGTTGTTGCATTGATCCTTTTATCATTATATAATGTCCTTCTTTGCTTCTTTTGATCTTTGTTGCTTAATTGTAACTTCTGCTTTTTACTTATTTACTTTAGCTCTCTGTTTGGTTGGTAAATCTTTCTCCATCCCTTGTTTAGAGTCTTTGTGTATCCTTGAATGTGAGATGGATCTGGATGCAGCATACTGATGGGTTTTGGTTTTTTATTCAAATTGCCTGTCTTTGGATTGGGGGATTTAGTCAATTTAAATTTAGAATTAATAATAATATATGTGAGTTTAATACTGTCTTTAGCTGGCTATTTTGTCCATTAGTTGATGTAAATTCTTCATTATATTGATGCTCTTTTTGATAATTTTTTTAGAAAGGCTGATACTGTTTGTTCCTTTCATATGTGTAGTGGTTCTTTCAGAAGCTCTTGCAAAGCAGGCCTGGTGGTGATGAAATCTCTGAGTGCTTGCTTATTCACAAAAAACTTTATTTTTCCTTCACATGTGAAGCTTAGCTTGGCTGGATGTGAAATTCTGGGTTGAAAATTCTTTTCTTTAAGGATGTTGAATATTGGCCCCCACTCTCTTCTGGCTTGTAGGGTTTCTGCTGAGAGATCTGCTGTAAGTCTGATAGGCTTCCCTTTGTGGGTAACCTGACCTTTCTCTCTGGCTGCCCTTAGTATTTTCTCCTTCATTTCAACCCTGGTGAATCTGACGATTATGTGCCTTGGAGTTGCTCTTCTTGAGGAGTATCTCTGTGGTGTTCTCTGTATTACCTGGAGTTGAATATTATCCTGCCTTACTAGGCTGGGAAAATTTTCCTGAATAATGTCCTGAAGCGTATTTTCCAGCTTGGATTCATTCTCTTCGTCACATTCAGGTACACCTATCAAGCGTAGATTAGGTCTTTTCACATAGTCCCATATTTCTTGGAGACTTTGCTCGTTCCTTTTTATCCTTTTTTCTCTAATCTTGTCTTCTAGTTTTATTTCATTGAGTTGGTCTTCGACCTCTGATATCCTTTCTTCTGCTTGATCAATTTGGCTGTTAAAACTTGTACATACTTCACGTAGTTCTCGTATTGTGTTTTTCAGCTCCATCAATTCACTTATTTTCCTCTCTAAATTTTGTATTCTTGTTGACATTTCGTCAAACCTTTTTTCAAAGTTCTTAGTTTCTTTAGATTGTGTTATAACAAGTTCTTTTAATTCAGAGAAGTTTCTTATTATCCACGTTTTGAAGCCTGCTTCTGTAATTGGAACCCACTCGTTCTCCATCAAGCCTTGTTTCGTTGCTGATGAGGAACTGGGATCCTCTGCTGAGGAAGAGGCGTTCTGATCTTGGGTATTCTCAGCCTTTTTTGACCGTTTTCCTCCCTTCGTTGTAGATTTATCCATCTGTGGTCTTTATAATTACCGTCTTTGTAATTGGGTTTCTGAGTGGACGTCCAACTTACTGATTCTCAGCGCCGAAATCTGAGCAGCCCACTGCACCGACCAAATCAGCGGCGTTAAGATGGATGGTGCTTTTCCGACTCCTGCACCGAGAACCGATGCTCCGAGGCGCCGGCAAAACCGCCTCGCCGGTCACAAGAGTCGCGCTGGCGACCCGTGGGGCTCCTCCGCTGGGAATCTCCTGGTGCGTGAGCAACAAGAATTCATGTGAAGGTGTGGCGTCCTCTCCTTCTTTGCGCTTTCAGTGGGAGCTACAATCCCGAGCTGCTAGTGATCAGCCATCTTGGATCTCTCTCCCCAGTTCTGAGAAGGATTCTAGCAGTACTTCCTTGGTAACTTCCGTCTTTCCATTTAGTTTGGTTTTCCTTTTTTTTTCTTGAGACAGTCTTGCTCCATCGCCCAGGCTACAGTGCAATGGCAAGATCTCGGCTCATGCAATCTCCGCCTCCCGGATTCAAGCAATTTTCCTGCCTCAACCTCCCAAGTAGCTGGGATTACAAGCATGCAACACCGTGTCCAGCTTTTTTTTTTTTTTTTTTTTTTTTTTGTATTTTTAGTAGAGACAGGATTTCGAAATGTTGGCCAGCCTGGTCTCAAACCCCTGACCCCAGGTGATCCAATTGCCTCGGCCTCCCAAAGTGCTGGGATTATAGGAGTGAGCCACCATGCCCAGCCTCCTTCGGTTTTCTCTGGCTGATCCCCCTTTAGTATACGTATGTTAGATATTCTCATAATTTAAATATCTTAATTTGTCTGTTTTACTTATTTTTCTCTTTGATCTGTATTTGGGTAGATTCCCTTATTTTCTACCTGTCTTATTAACATTTTCCCCCCATATCCCTTACTTGTTTTTAAATTTCTAAGCGCTCTTTCTCTGTTTCTTTTTATGGCATTCTGTTCTTATTTCATGGATGCACTGTTTTCCTTGTCTCTGTGAGTCTTGGTGCCGCGAAACTCCCATCTGCTACCTCCAGTTTCTCCCTTCTAGCTCCAGTTTTTGCAATGCTTTTGTTGACCTGTCCCCATTTTAAAGGTACCTTTTTCAAATGTCTATTGAACCTTGGCTATCTACATTTGACAGCAAGTCTCACGAAAGCTGGATGTTAAGTCTATCTATGTGGGCAAGGGTTACTGTTGCTAAGTCTCAGAGTGAGGTTATTAGACCAGAACTTTCAAAGGTCCACTTACATACAGATCTTTCTTTTGACAAGTGCCTTCTGAGAGGGATCTATAAATCTTCTAGCCATCAGTATTCTGGGTACAGTCTTTCACTTCATCCTCTGTTTTCAGTGAAGACCCTTGTCACCTTGTGCTACTCCTGTTACCTCCACCTCCAAGGCCTCCGTTCAGTACTCACCCACCTCCCGTCAGTTTTACTCTAGCCTGCAGCAGTTAGGGGAAGGAAAGGGAATCTGGTGGAGTCTGCTTCTTCTTATAGAAACTTTCAGCCCAACTTTCAACACTGCCTTAGAAAGTACTAAAGCCTCTAATTCCTGAGTCTTCCTGAGGTTGGGATACACCTGCCTGCTTTGTCTGGATGTCCTCCTAGCAAGATTTCTCTGGTCTGGCAAGTTAGAGACCTCTCATTTACATCTGCAAAATTTCACAGTCTATTCTAATCTCTTGTCATCTCTTCTCTCATTCTCTTTGTTCTTGTGCATTTAAACAGATTTTTATTCCCTTATTGTCATTTTAATGTGAGAGAAACATGTTTTCCCACCTACTATCAGCTAAAAATTAGGCTATATTCCTAAATTACGAATCTACTAGTTTTTCGAACTCAATATTTAACTTCTTAGCTTCTCAGCAAAAAGATACAAGTTATAAAACTCAAGCCCTTTTATTTAATTCTGTCTGTAGCTAACAAGAGAGGTATAAGACCTCTACATTGAATACCACAAAACACTGCTGAGAGAAATGAAAGCATCAAGTAAATAAAGAGTTACGCTCTGCTCACAAATTGGAAGACGAAAATATTGTTAGTATGAGAAGCCTCTTAAAATTCATCTACAGAGGCAATGCAAACCCAATCACAGTCTCAGAAGGTTCTGGGTAGACACTGACAAGCTGGTGTTAAAATTTATATTAGAAACACAAATAACCTAGAACAAACAAAGTGATTTTTAAAAATAATAAACAAAATTGGCACATATTTTATATAATTTTAAGTCTTATTATAAATCTACAGTAATCAAGGCAGCTTGCTATTGGTAAAAAGATAAGACATATATATCAGTGGAACAGAACAGAGACCAGAATTAGAACCACATATATATGTGGGTCACTTGATTTGGGGGCAATTTTTATTTTCTTCAATTTGCCTTTTAATATTTTTCTTATTTTATAATAGAAACATTTATTACCTTTGCAGTGGAAGGGAGACTGCTTTTTTAAAATACAGATTTAACACATGATTTGTAATTTATCCAATTCTAAACGATATGGTAGGGTGAAAAACTAGTTTTAATTTAATTTAAATGCAAAGTAGAAAGAACTAGTGATAAAGTTCCTTACCCGGGCTATGCAGTAATCCTTAGGGTTTTCTTTTTCCAGACCATACTTCTCTAAAGCTTCGGCAACAGCAAAGTCTGCAGGATCTGTAGTAGACAGCAGGATTGTCTTGTACGGAATATTTGGTTTTAAACTATCTGCATAAATTCTCAATGTTCCACCTGAAAAAACATTTTGACATCTTTGAGTATAACTTACTTTATGCAAATAACAGAGATAGCTAACATTTATAATCACTTGAGAAAAAGATACCTGCATTCTAGGTATAATGAGTACAAAAACAATTAGGTAACATATATTAGCAGTAACTGGTTGATCTAGTGACACTTAGGAAATCATGAACAATCAAGTATGACAAAGACCATATCGTGTTCTCTCTTCAAGGAATTTTTGTATCAATGAACTGATTTCCACTATGGTAAGGAAAGAAAAGGAAAGAATTCCAGAATTTCTCTAAGGTGCTCTTTATTCAATTGCTTTCCCATTTTTCTTATCTATATATCGTTATATACCGATTTCTCCCATTTTCCTACTTCCTGATCATCAACCTGAAACAAACTAAAAACCCAGATAAAGTTAAATATTAACACACTAAATAAATCAATTTTTGAAAAGTGAAGTTGGAACCAGGAGATCTCAGGTGCTCGAGACCAAAGATTTTTCATGAGAGATAAGTCAACAGAGCAGAGTTCTATGTTTACTTCCAGGCACTACAAACTACAATGTCCTTTATAGCTGTGAACTTATTTAGTGGGGGAGAAAAGAAACCAACTACAGCAGAGCAATTTGGATATCCTGAGATTTTCTTTTGTGTTTCTTTGTAAAGAATATGTGTGTGTGTGTGATCTTTGTAAAGAATGTGTCTCTCTGTGTGTGTGTGTGTGTAATATTGTCACTTTTGGTGTCATAATCTGCTGTCTACCTATGGTCCAGGATTAACACACCCTGAAATCTGAAGTCTAGATGAAAGGATGCTGAGGGAAGAAACTAAGGTAGGCTCCACATTCCCATTATGACAGTGTGATCCTAGCTACTCACTCTAGCTTCTTTAACTCCATTTTCTCACCTGTAATTCAGAAGAGCTAGATCAGAAAAATCTGTGGGTTTCTTGAGGCAAGTTCTAGATTTCCATGACTCCATTACTTTTTAATTCTAATGCAGTTATTTCAGCTACTGAGTATTTCTCATACTCTCTTTTTCAACGAGTCTGACATGAATTGCATTTGGATAACTTAGCTCACAGTAACATAAAGTTGGTCTTTTAAGAAACCAACTAGTCTACACTCATATTAGAACATGGGCCTGCTGGGCCAGGCCAGGGGAATCACAGGTTGCACAACATGTTTAGCATGTACACACTCACACTGCCCAGGGGCCCCACTGTTCCAATGCAGAGGAACAGCAATAAGCAGGTCAGATGATGTTCCTGCCTTCAACAGCTTACATTCTGTGGTTGGGAGTAGGATGCAGAGGAAGGAGACTAACAAGAAAACAAGTAAGTACCTTTAAAACAGTGACACACATTGTGAAAAATATAAGGTTGTGAGAAAGAACGTGACCGAGAGCATCTTAAACTTGGGTGACTGGCCAAGACTTCTCTGAAGAATAAACCTATGACCTCAGTTCTGATTAATCAGACGTAAGTGACCATGCGAAAATCAAAAGGAAGGGCTTTGTCTGAGCAGGGGACCAGCAGCTGCTAAGGCCCATGGCTGGAGGAAGTCTGGCTGGATTCACTGGCCAGTACTGACAGAGTGAGGGAAAAGAGGGAGATGAAGTCAGAAAGCAGCTGAGACCAGATTAGGCCGGACTTCCCTGATCATCATCCCGAGTTTGAATTATTCTAGTTAAAGTGAAAGCCACTCAAAGGGTTTAAGTTCTTCGTGTGAGTGTCTGCATGTGTGCATGTGCCAAGACAGAGTACACACGTGTGATTGTGTGTCTGCATGCATATGTCTAAGGAGGTGGGCAAAATGTCACTTCTGCTTTCCAAAGAGAATCCTGGCTTTCGGGTGAAGAAAGGGACATCAGCGACAGGAGTGGGGCTCATATAAACTGTGTGTTTTCCACAACACCAAAATGCCCACTCCTTATTTAATTACACTCCACATCCCAACATGAGCCTCAAGTAATTCCCAGGAAAAACATTAAATACAATAGGGTGAGTAAACAATCATGCAGACTGCAGTAACATCTACATGTTTCATACGTTATACCAACAAGGATCTTCTATTTTGAAAGCTGAAGAGTGGAATTTGTATCCTTATCTAGATGTCCACCAAAAAAATGCAAATGATCAGACACCTAACTTTTCTAAAAAATAAATAAACACACACACACACACACACACACACACACCCCTGTTAAACGCCTAGATGAGTACTCATGATCCCAAAGCTACAGACAAACAGACCACAGGGCAGAAAAAACTACCTGGTGGGAAAAAATTTAAGAACAAAGTTTATCAGAAAGTCAGTTGAAGAAATCAGTATGGTTCCTACAAATAATCTAGTTTTCAGTGGCACTTCTAAAGGACACATCAATATGAGACAGCTAGAAAATTCATATTCAAGTGGTCAAATGAATTTAGCTACTGAATGAAACATATTAAATGCTTGACTATTTTAGAACTAATATCTAAAACTATGATTTGGTTTGAGTATAGTGCATTAAGGCATTCTGACACATAAAAAGGCAATAAACAAACACAGTCGATCATAAAAGCTTGTTAGTTTCTAAGCATAAAACCATAGTATTGTTATGGGAGCAACAGATACCTCCCAATTTACTAAGGAAGGAGAAAGAGAAGAAAAGCTAAGGTTTTAAGTTCCTATTACAGACTAAAATCTATTTGTATAAACACGTATCTTAGTCTTGTATAAACAAGACTAAGATATAGGTTAGTGCCCCGTTTTGAAGATAAAGAGACTGTGGCTCTTGGTTTGTGCACAGCAGTTCCAACTGCATCCTGACCCCAGGTCCACCCTCTTTTGCACAGTACTCTGCTACTCCCAACACTGCGCACTAAAACACCCAAGAAGAAGAAGAATCGACTACAAATTCTCCTATAGTTTTGTTAATTTATCAGTGAGGAAAAACCATAACAATAAATGGTGGAAGAATACTTGTGCCACAAATCAATTAACTGAGATATATAGGACATTTTGGGGTCAACTACATTTTAAAGCCATCATGAAGCAAATATAATTGAGTGTCAAAAATACTTTACAAAGTTCAGGGGCAAAGCTTGATATGAACTCTGATGCCTGATCAGCTGTGAGGTGAGTTTAACAGAAACAAATAAAAGGGGACATGGAGGCTCTGTCATCAGAAGTTGAGAAACTAATCCTTGGGGTAAAAGAGAAAAGTAACAGACACAGTTGTCACTCTCAGACAAGTGGTTTTCACAGGTGCCCTTGTCTCCAGCCCACACTGAAGAATCAACCTGATAATTAAGCTGATAGCTGCAGTAGGCTGTAAGGATACAGTGTCTCGGAGCAAGTTATTTGTTAAAAATATCAGGTAAAAACCTTAGACTTCATTAATACTTTTGGCTTCCTTATTATTAACCATAAAGGACCATTTTTGGCTATCAATATTTAGTTCTTAGGAGTTCCCTCGGAGTCTACACATAGAAAAAACACCCCTTCTACCCCTAATCACCACTTTAACAGATAAGCTCTACTCTGATGTTCTGCTACGTCTCCTCCTAATTCTTTACGGTGTTCCTGTTTTCTTTGCTGACTCCACTTAACGATGGCTTTTCCCGTAAGTTTCTGGATCACCTATACGCTGTCTCCCAGCAACACTGACCGCCCCCAAACCCGAATCGTCATGTGACACTGCTGCACAGTGCTCTGGAGTCACTCAAATGGGCCTAAAACACATCCCATATCCCACCAGCACTTCATGTGACACACATAAACAAAACCTACCTTCCACTCCCAAATGTTCTTTCATTCTACAGTCCGTCAACCTCTTTCCAATTAAAAGCAGAGGTGCCATCCAGAATGCCTCCCCTCCTTAGTAAAATCCAGTCTATTGCCAGTTCCTGACAATTTTACCTCTTAACTCTTTCTTCAGACCTTTCTCTCTTTACGTCCTGCTGTCAATGACAGAGCTCAGAGGTCCCTTATTCCTTATATGGGCAAAGCAATACTTTAAATGGGCATGCCTGCTTCTAATCAGAATTCCCTCAAATCCATCTTCCACTCTGTTTCTACAGTAATCTCTCCAGATACAAAGCTTAGGCTACAACGAAAGCTTTCTAAACCCCTAGCTTAAAACTCTCCAGCAGCTTATTAACAAAGCATATCAAATGTTTCCATCAAAATACCCTCAATGGCAGAGCCAAATACGTGGGGGAATCTGGGGACATAAGCTAGGAGGCATACAAAAACTTCCTATTTTATCGTAAAAAATACACGTAAATGTTACATTCTAACCACATTAAAAACATACTTCATTTTAAAAATATTTTCTAAAGTTACATATAAAAATTGATACTCTAAGCTAGCTATCTTTACCATGACTCACTACCTCTAGCCCATACTTGAATATTCCTTAAGAAGGAACCATAGAATAAATTCAGAAATTCATTTCAGTAATGATGTCAAACTCCCTCCTACAGCATAAAAAGTGCCTTCAGGTCTGGTATGTGGCTAGCACATGTAGCCATTTCTTAGCATTCCTCTTGTCTTTGAAAGAAGTTTTTACCACTCTTCTTTATATTTTCTTTCAAACTCCTTATTTTCTTTTGTCTTTTTTGGGATGCATGTATTTAGAAATTATTTCAAATTCTTGGCAGAATAAGACAGAATATACATAAACAAAGAATCATTTGGGTCTCAACTGTAATCTATTAGAATATTAGAATATTTATGGAACCAAGAAGTCCTATACTCTCTGAGATTTTTTTTAAATCACTGGCACTACAAGTCCTGTGAAATATGTAATTAGGACTCAGTTATAGGGTGCTAAGGATCAAAATAATCAGGAATGCTAGGGTGGGCCAACTTTCCCCCTACATGGTAGCTGTCTGGACACGACACTGAAATATGCTCAGAAGACAGAGTCCTGAGCAGTGTCTATGATGGGCGCAGAAGCAAGTGACCATGCATTTAATGCATTACATCTCATTTAGATCCCATCCCAAATAAAACAATTAACTGAGGTAATCAGGAAAATTTAAACAATGACTAGTTGTTTGATAGTATTAAGGAATTACTATCAATTAGTTTATATATGATGATAATACTACACTTATATTTTGCTTTGTTTTTTAAGGAATCTCTACCCTTCAGAAAAATATACCAAAATATTTACAGTTGAAAGAACAAGAAGTTTGGGATTTGCTTCACAATAATAGTGTGAGAATGGAGGCAATGTATTTTGGGGTACAGAAGAAACGTGAGTTGTTAATTATCAAACCTCAGTGTAGGTACATGGGAGTTTTATTTTATCTTTCTTTTTTGTATATACTTGAAATTTTCCAGATTTTCTCTTTTTCTTTTTAAAGAGCTGTATTGGGGAAAAGTATGAAAGTAAATGCATCCCTATGTGAACAGAACTCTTGTAACACAGGGCAGGCTGATTTTGTACCAGACGTATGTGGTACACATTTGTTTTCAAAAGGTTGCATCACCCATTGCTTTAGTTAAAGCAGGCCTCATGCACAAATGGAGTGTAATTAAACAATGCTCTTTACAACAGGTAGAACAGAGAAAAACTATAAAGTGTGTACCTGAATCTGGCCGCCCATCTGAGCTCCGAAATTCCTGCATTCTCTTTTCCAATTTCTGTTGCCTCCGCCGTTTCATGACCACCTCAGGATTAGAAATTGTTCGTGTAAAGCTGGTTTCAGGCATGTCTTTGTAAACCTCAGCAGCCAGTCGAGAATTTTCACTGCAAGACAAAAAAACACCAACAATATTTTAAACTTTTTTTTCTTACTGGAAATAGACACACTGCAATCATACAAAAATCAAAAGGGCAGATGCTATTTGGCTACATCTGTACCCTAACAGGTCTGTTATGTACTATTTACCACATAATAACTAATATATGATAAAGAATCTAGTTTCTCTCAATACAAACGAATATACTGAACTAAGCAGAAATCTATCATTAAAAGTTTACATTAATAGTGAGTTTATTCATGAATAATGCTGAAAGAAAAATATATTGATTATACATTTCCGTAACTTCCACCACTGTTACACTAAAATAGACCAATATTATACCATGACCTTCCAACCACAAGAAGGAAACATAGGACTTAATATACTTTAATTTCACAAAATCTGTCTTAAAATTACAGCAAATTTAGGCCGGGCACAGTGGCTCACACCTGTAATCCTAGTATTTTGGGAGGCCGAGGCAGGCAGATCACCTGAGATCAGGAATTCAAGACCAGCTTGACCAACATGGATAAACCTCGTCTCTACTAAAAATACAAAATTAGCCAGGCATGGTGGCACATGCCTGCAATCCCAGCTACCCAGGAGGCTGAGCAGGAGAATCGCTTGAACCCGGGAGGAGGAGGTTGCGGTGAGCTGAGACTGTGCCACTGCATTCCAGCCTGGGCAACAAGAGTGAAACTCTGTCTCAAAAAAAAAAAAAAATTATATAGCAAATTTTGAAAAGCCCAAATTAACTGAATGGAATGATTATTTTTTTTTAACACCTGAAAGATTTATAAACATTAACTTTTTTGAAGCTAAATTTTTTAAAGGAAATTACTCCCAACAGTTTCTGTGAAGGAGTCAAATGTATAGAATGATGAGCTGAAAACAGTATTAGGTAATTGATATACTTGACTAAATTTTGGTAAATATACTTTAAAGATACAATTTTTAATCATAAAAAATAATCTAATTAAAAATAGTCAAGCTTTTAATCAAGTTGAACAACTTAACTCATCTGAAGCTAAATAATTTATCACCCCATAAATAGGATGATAAGTAAAGCAAGTCATAAAGTATATGCTTTTGGTTTGTTTTGGTTTATTTTAAGACAGGGTCTCACTCTGTAGCCCAGGCTGGAGCACAGTGGCACAATCACTGCTCACTGCAGTCTCAATCTTCCAGGCTCAAGCAATCCTCCTACCTCAGCCTCCTGAGTAGCTGAGACTACAGGCATGAACCTAGCGTAAGTTTTAAACTCTCCTTTTCTTTGATATTTTTCATGTATGAGCAATGTATCTTTGTACATTTTTTCTCTTGCATAACTGCATTTGACAGAGGCTTATTACGTAATACTAGACTCAGGAGATTACATAGGCACCACTGCCTCGTAGATTCATACTTAAACCTTCTTTGATGCAACACAAAACAGGTTCAAATTCCACTCTAAAGTATACCTTCTTCATTGACAAGTAATATCCTTAACACATACAGATCACTTAGAATCAATTTCAAAATGGGAAAAAGCCTTGGACAGGTCACTCCAACAAAAGAATATAAATCGTTAACAAATGTGGAAAGATGCTGTCGTCTTAATGACAAAAACAAATTCAATTTATAGAAGATATTACATACTACACAGATAATTATATACTGTTCTGTGACACCCAAGAGTTGCAGATGTAAGGAAAAGAGAAGTCTCCTGGTCTCCTGGATTGCACGACAGTATGGGGCAGTCTGCCGATGGGTTCAGAACATGAGAGTATCTGAATCCTGTCACCCAACCATTCTTCTAGAATGCACCGAGAAAATAATCAGATGACTTCCCTAAGTCATAGAACAAGGATATTCACTGAAACATTTATTTAAAAACAAAACAAAGAACCACTATAAACTATCTGTAAGTACACTAAAGATGAACTAGTTACATAAATTATAAGAACAATTAAGTAACAGTATACTGTATCGTCATTTTTAAATGTTTTTGTGAAATATAAATATCTTAGTGGAAAAAATACCAAGTGAAAATCCAGTTGAAGAGACTGTGGTTACATTTCTGTTTAAAACCTCTCCAGACAAGCATATAAAATAGAAAAATTTATAGAGAAAAAAAACTAGATGATGATTTTCTTTGGGTTCATGTGATGACAGGTGAGTTATATCCCCCCCTTTTCGGTAAACCTATATATTCTGACTTTCTAAGCTGCACATGACCTCATTTATGGAAAAGTAATGAATGGAATACCATGCAGTCAACAGCAAGGCAACAGCAAACTGCCTAAGAAGGCACATGGCCGCCAAATGCACTAAACAATCAAAAACTGCTGAGGGCGAAAACAAACTAGAAACTCTGTATTAAGGGGAAAGTCTAGTTTATCCTAATACCTCTTTCTGCTATAGTGAGAGTGCAATGATTTCTATATTCCCTCAGCTCTGCGTCAGACCCTAAAATACCTAAACAGGTAACCATCTACAATGGGACTGGTGTGACAAAATAGGAAATGGGAGGTGGGAATGGAGGGAACTAGATGGTGATCTGAAGCTTAAAAGGGAAAATCTGCTCTTCAGCTTGTCAGCCTCCGACAAGGCATTAAGTGTATCTGAAGTACAGAAGAGACAACTGCTGCCTCCGGGCCACAGCCACAGAAACGAGGCAAGACCCCAGAGGAAGATGAAGGAGAGAAATAATGTTAACCAGAGGTTTTGGGTTAGATTGTGGGTGCACAGATTCTTCCCAAGCACAGCGAGACAGGCACTGCCAACCATGAACCCTGCTTCGGTAAGACATTCTATCCTGCCTCCACACAGAAGAGCTGGGAGTATACCCAAATACATTTCCTGACTGATACTCATCCTTTTCATAATTTATCTGAAAATTTAACAATTTTGGTGCAATGAAAACACCTTGTTTGGAGCACAAAGATAAACACTTCCAAAATGGACTTACCTGTCCTCCCCTGGGAAAGGCCTATCATCTTTATCAGACGCCTGTCGTAACGCCTCTTTTTCTCTCTTCTTTTTTTCCTTCTTTTCTTTCTTTGAGAGAGTTCTCTTGAAGTTCTGGATAACTCCTTCCTTTTCCTGCTTTTCAGGTCCATTACTTTGAGCCTTCTGATAAAAGTAACATTGTCATCATATTGACCACGACACAGAATCACATGAAATTGCCTACGGCTTAGCTAACTTCATCTCACATGCTATGGAACACGTGAGCAAGGCTACTGAAATAAAGGAAGGTCTAGAGAATGGGAACGTTCTTTCTTGATTCAGCTGACAGTTACATGGGCATATTTATCAAAATCAATTGAACTGTACACTCAAGATACGTGCATTTCACTGAATCTATATTTTACCTCATTTTAAAACTAACAAGCAAACAAGTTAAGAAACAAAAATCAAAGCCAGGAAGAAAACTGGGGTAGAAATCATGAAATCTGATTTTCAGTAAATAAAACTAAGTAATTTACATAAAATAACTTGAATAAAAAAAACCTAATAAAGTTATAAAAATAAAGAGTGAATAATAGATAAATGAATCATCTATAGTAGTTTTTCTTTAACTTTAAGGGAAATGTTAACAGTAGCCATAATATATTGGCTTTCATGAAACAGCTGTATCATGTTTGTGAAAAAAAATCTAACTTCGTTTACAGATCTGATTTATTTGCTTGCTTCTTCTTAATTTGTATTTTAACCTCAAACAACGGCCTGCTAGCAGATGACAGAGAGACATTATTTTTACGGATAACTTAATAAGAAAATAACTTAAGAAAAATAGAATGGCTATTGTAATGAGAAGGAAAATTGCCTTCTGCTTTATCAGTTAAGGGAGAAAAGAATGTGAACACTGCCATCTGATTCACAGATACTCATAGCATTGCACTGGTCTTAGGAGTTCCAATACATGTCAATGAGGGTTTGTGGTGCACAGCAAAATATACAGACTGAAATAACATCAGCTGAAATTGTGGAGCAGAAATGAAATAAAACATGCATAGCAAAACAATAAATATGCATTCTTAACATTTTTTGTATTTGTTGCAACTATAGCATATCACTAAGCACAGCACCAAGGTCAACAATACATTTTGTACATATCTATGACTCTTCAAAATGGAACAATGACATCACACAAAATGAAAACTTTCTGCGGCTAAAACTAATTAACAGTTTTTTCCCAATCTGTTCGGGGTGGGACGGAGGGAATTAAATGAAAGAATTTTCGTAAAATATTCGTAACCATTGCATTTGCTATCACTTGTCCATAATGAATTCTTGTGTAAGATGCTACTTGATTTAGCACAAAATAAGAACAGCAGCACAAAATTCTAAATATCCTACCACCTAGAAAGCTTTAGAATCATCCTATTCTGTCATTCAAGAATGTTTACTAATTCCTAACCCTGCACATATTATGAAAAGGTTTTAAATGAGCCAAAGGTGCATCTAAAAGTTTACACATAAAGAGATATAAAAGCTTTATTTTTCCTTTTGATCCTTATTAGAACAATTCTGATTTTATATTTTTGACCAAAAAAAGCTGAGGCTGACCACCTGATCATTAAATCTCGCAGTTAGTTTACATAATCATTCTTTGAAAAGGTAAGCAACAATATCTGGAATTATTAGTTGAGATAAAGGATAAAGTAGGGAGAAAAAGGCTTCTTTTAAATTATTTTCTGGGAGGAGGGTAAAAGAGTTTAAAAAGAGAAGCAAAAAAGAGAAGGAGCTCCTGCAACAAAACATTAGTCTGTTTATCAGCCAGACCTGGCCCTGGACCAAGACTGGCATAATACTGAGGGGTTCCTACCTTAGGAGCAATGGCATCATTCTCATTCTTAAGCACAAATCTGCCTTCCCGATCATCTTTGTTCCAATTCAATTGTACAACTAGAGGCTTCTCATCTATATCCAATCTTCTTTCTTCTTCAAAACATGAAACGAAAAAAAGAACAAGCTATGGTTATTTCATGGTACTAGCTAATAAGCATTCTTTCTGACACACATTTAATTTTATAAAGTACCTATCTGCAGACTGAGATGTATTGTTTGAAATGATATTGTTTGAAATCATTGGTTTTAATTAATTCAATATTTTGTTGCTACTATATGTTTATTACCACATATCCAGTGCCAGACAATAAACAGGGGCAATAACATCATTTAGATCTTACTGGGAAAATAAGAGAAATATACATGAAATAAGAAAAAAAGTATACATGGGTTTGCTATAAGCTTATTTCTATAAACGAAATTATCTCCTATGCAACTAGAAAATAAGGCTATAATGTTAATACCACACAGAAGCGCCACTGATTGTTCTTACCCATTAATGTTATACCCTACGCAAGTGATGGCAGCAGCCCCCACCAGTCTTGGAAGTGATGACTGCACTGTTCTTCCTTCCTCTGTCCATCTGATCCTTGTCTCCAAAATTTACCCATCTCCACACTTACCTCTCCTTCCACCTTAAAGTTACCATGACCATTTCTTACGTGCAGTACTGTTTGGTTTATTACTTCCTTCATTAGCAAGCATCCCAGGCACACTTATCAGGAACATGGTACTCCACAGAGGGTCTTGTAAAAGCCTCACACAGCCTGACCACCTCACAGAGGCCTACAGCCGCTGGAAGCTCTGGAAAGAAGGCAGCACTGACGGCAGGGCCTGCTCCTACTGACCAAGCCACCCATCCCAGGCTGGAGAGGACTAAGAAAGCAGGAGGTGGCAGCAGATGTGAGGCTGCAAGCCCCATGCACAAGTCAGGCTACATTCCACAGGAATCCTCCTTGTCACTCTGAGAAATCCATTAACTCTGCTCAAACCTTTAACTTTTCTTCGAGCCACTGTTACAAATTTAAACAGGTATTAAGAGCCTAAAGCCTCTTTCTTTATCTTAAAGTCCCTACCTTTTAGTGTACAATCTGGCAGAATGTGAGCTTTTTTAGAAATGCCTATTTCAGAAACATCTGTTACAGGATTGCTAGGTAACCTGAATATCACAAGACCCAGCACTTTCAGGGTTGAGTAAGAAAAGTAAAATTCACCATAAAATAAAATCACTGACTCCCTATCCAAATATTGCTCCCTGCTGTCCAGCCCTGCCCACTATCCAGCACCCCATTAGTCACATCACCCCATGGTCAGAATCCACGTGACGGTACCGTCACACAGACCGCAAACTGGAATTCTATACCTTACAGAAAGGGTCAAGACTGCACGATGCTGGCTGGGAATACCAGCACTTTGGGAAGCCAAGGTGGGTGGATCAATTGAATTCAAGAGTTTGAAATCAGACTGGGCAACATGGCGAGACCTCATCTCCACGAAAAATAAAAATAAAAACAAAAGAAAGGAGGAGGAGGAGGAGAAGGAGAAGGAGGAGGAAGAGGTAAAGGAAGGAGGATGAGGAGAAGAAAGAAGGAGGATGAAGAGGAAGGAGGAGGAAGGAGGAGGAAAGGGAGGAGAAGAGGGAGGAGAAAGGAGGGAGGAGGAAGAGGAGGAGAAATGAGGAGGGGAGGAGAAAAGGGAGGAGGGGGAGAAGGGAAGGAGGGGGAGGAGAAGGGAGGAGGAAGGAGGGAGGAGGGGGAGGAGAAGTCGAAGGGGGAGGAGAGGGAGGAGGAAGGAGGGAGGAGGGGGAGGAGAAGTCGGAGGGGGAGGAGAGGGAGGAGGAAGGAGGGGGGAGGAGGAGGAGGAGGAGCAGAAACAATAATAATTAGCCAGATGTGGTGGTGTGTGCTTGCAGGGCTGAGGTGGGAGAACCACTTGAGTCCAGGAGGTTGAGGCTGCAGTGAGCTTTGGTGGTACCGCTGCACTCTACCCTGGATGACAAAGTGAGACCCTGTCCTGGTGGAAAAAAAAGATTGCCACAATGATGATGAAAGTGATATTAAAAACTGCATCAAGCACAAACTTAGCCAGTGATAAACGAGGATCAGACAGACCAATTAATAAGTAAAGAGACAACTGATAAGGATGAGAACGTAGACTCCTTACAAGAGAAAGATCTGATTTTCCAAGGACTGGAAGAGGTTCTAAGAAATACTGGTTCAAGTCCTGAACCCAAAGTGCTCTTCATAATCATGTCACAGAGAGTCAAGGAAGACAGCCCAAGACTAAGTCTCTGTTTTGTCAATTAGTCCATATTTGAAGCAATAAGTGAGAAATATGAGATAGACTTTATTTTTCAAACAAAGGTCTTCAAATGCTGTCACCATTTACTATAAAATCTGATTCTAGATGAGGGTCTCACTATGCCGTCCAGGCTGGTCTCAAACTCCTGATCTTAAGTAGCCCTCTGACTTCAGCCTCTTGAGTATCTGGGACTATAGGTGCATGCTACCAAGTCCAGCTTTGATCCTAGTTCTAAATGTATTTATTTTAAGGGGACTTTTACAGATATTAAGTATCTTTAGATAACAGTACCCTGTTGTATTAGTAACAATATATTACAATAAAAACACTAGGTGAGGCAGTACAAAGGATCACTTTGGTTAGATGATATTCAAGGAAAAGATGCCCAGAGACTATACGACCAGGCCAGGCCTTGAAAGAAAGAAAGAATGGGTATTCATTCTTTCTTTCTTTCAAGGCCTGGCCTGGTCGTATAGTCTCTGGGCATCTTTCAACAAGAAGTTGTTCCAGAAACTGTCAAAAAGATAGGCAGGAACAGCATGGTGAGGGCACAAGGTGTCTTACTACAGTCTCACGCAGGGGAAGAGAACTATTAATTTGAAAAAGCACTTTCGATGCTACGCCAAAAGTTTAAAATTTTAAATGAGCAGTAGTTTACCACTACCACCCCCCATAAAAATGACACCATAATGATGACAACAATGATGATATTGACAGTACTACTGCTAAGAGTGTTGACAAAGATTATCCAGGTAATTATATACAGGATATGCTAAAATGAGACTGTTAAAAATAGGAGGCTGTGAGATTGGCTAAAGAATTATTGTGTAATGGAAATAACAGTAATGCTAGTTATCAAAACACAGAAATAAGAAACTTTAGATAATTATTTTATCAACTGAAAATACAAGAAACAAAAACCAGGGTAACAAATTTGGGATAGAACAGTAAGTCTGAATTCCTTCCATAAACCAAAATTACCAAATTTTTCTTGTTGCAAAATTTATACTAGATGAAAATCCTTCTGAGTGCAACTTTTAGAGAAATAACATTAATGATCATGTATAAATCATAAAAGTAAAGCAAGATGGAGGCTGAGATATTCTCAAGCGCATGTGAGTAAGCACTGAAGGTAAAGAAGGCACTGGGTCCTACTTTATCTTTATGCATTTAAGATCTCTTCTGCCTTAGTGGTTTCATACACATTTTTAAAGTGGCATGACCCTTTTTTATGTTTCCTACTGAATTCACACAAAGACTTGTAGTACATAAAAAGGATAAATGCGGGGCTTCCTCGGTGGTTGAAGCAGGTTTGGGGCTGGGGCTTTAGCCCACTAGGGCTGCGGTATGCAAACGTGCTGAGAGGATCCCAGGGCACAGAGAAGCATTTAAATGTTCAAGAGAAACGAGTTGCATCTGCTTTACACCAAAAGAACTGGTTCCAGTGGCTCCTGGACCACAGCAGACTGCACAGCATCTCTTCTGTCGGCATCATACACATACATACAAAGCTGGGTTTCCATAACACTAAAAACAGGCAGCATGGCCTGAAAATTAACAAGGACAAGAAGGGAAGGTTCCTGGGGTCTGAGGGAGCTCGGGAAGGCCCAAGAGGCACAAATGTCTCGCCAGGGAGCAGCTGGGATTAAGAATGAAATGAAAGCTTTAGTTTTCCTATCATTTTATGTGTACTATTTTTTCAAACATCTACCAAATTGTTCACCATTAAATATTTACTGACCTGTCTGAATCTAACTACTTAATGAAATGGACTGTTAGGCATTTCCTTTGACTTAGTGGTACCATTATTAAACTATTACTGAGACACTAAGGGTTCTGCAACCCAAACAAGACTGAACACCTGCATGCTAGGGCTTTACTCACACCTGAGGCACTAGTGAAAAACCAGCACTTTAAGCCCAAAGGTGTGGAAGGTACCTGAGGGAGCGGGGAAGACACTGTTTCCTTCTTATTTAACCATTTTTTTGTTTTCACCCCTTTTTTTCTTTAAAAAAAAATCAAAATCATCCAATTTTTAAATCTCAAATTCCAATCTTACATATCATTCAAAGACTTCACACTTGTTAGTATTCAACTAACGAAACAGCAGAGACTGAAAAGAAAAAAGGTGGAAGTGAGAGTGATTTTATTCTTCTTTAAAACCTATTTACAAGGATTCTAAGGTAAAGGAAAAACTCAGCTTCAGAAAAATCATCCAAAATTGAGAACACCTTGTATTGTCAAATTTAGTTTTGGTATTAATGATGAAGGTAATATCCTCATTAACCTTAAAAATAAAATAAAAAAAGTATACCAACAATAACAACAAAAATGCTCTGACTTACATACTACTGAGGAAAAAAGGATTTAATCACACCTGAAAACCCCCCACATTACAAACACTTTAGTCTACTTTCATATGCACAAAGAAAGCAGTATTTTTGAAGTTAAAAAATATTCAAAAAAGATCTGTGGATAGAACTTAAAGGAGGCACTCAAATTAGGTTTGTGATATACATAAATCCTTTATTTGCTGCACCAATTATAATTTGTATTTGATTTAAACAGGTTACTCAACATTTCTAAAGCACCAATGAAATTTTTTTTCAATTTCTACATTTCTTTTTATTAATTTTTTGAGAGACAAGGTCTTGCTTGGTCACCCCAGGTGAAACATGCAGTGGCATGATCATAGCTCACTGCAGCCTCAAAGTCCTGAGCTCAAGTGATCCTCCTGTCTCAGTCTACCAAGTAGCTGGGACTTGGTATCATGCCCAGCTAACTTCTTTTTAAAATTTTTCTGTGAAGATGGGTCTACCTATGTTGCCTCAAACAATCCTCACATCTTGGCCTCATTAAGTGCTAGCATTACAGGCATAAGCCATGGCACCCAGCCAAATTTCCACGTTTCTTAATCAGTCCAACTTTAGTTGTCATTTGATATAGCTAAATAAGATATTTTCAGAAATTTCTAATGTTAACACAAGCAGCAATTACAAAATACATAAGGTTTTCCTAAGATACCCTAAAGTATTCCCAAAGAATAATGAAAATGTATTGTTTCAGAAGGCAAAAATATTACAGCAGGACTGATGACTCATACCCATATAATATTTAACTGCGTTACAATTATAATATTATAATCCATACATAAGCCACAGAAAACAATCTCAAAAAGCAGGTTGCATACCATACAACGTATGTGACACCCAGATATGATAGATAAATGTAAGCTACTTTGGAGAAATAAGCTTATGCAAAATTAATATATTCATTCTAACTCCCAACAGATGTTATGTACCAGGAATTTATGAGAACAATTCCCAGACATACAACAGTTTTCTCAGCCTGCCAACTTACTCTCCTACCCCCCCAAAAAAAAGAAAGAGGGCGATGAGCAATAAACCTGTGACAAGCCCACGATCCCCTGAACAAGGCGACTCTTCACAGATGAGGTCACGCCTCTGCCAACACCCGCCTGTATACACTGACCTCCACTGACATGCACTTCATAGAGTGAATACTTGGGAGAGGACAGCATTCTCATATCAGGTCGAAATTTCTCTGCGAGCGTTTCGATTACATCTTGAGTGGTGGCAGTACTAGAGACACGAATACATTTTGTTGCAAAGTTTCCAGCAGCTTTATCTTGAAAATAAAATCTCATTACTCCATGGAACTCCAAATCCTAAAAGAAAACAAAATGGTACATTTTTGGAAAACAATACTCTGAAGAGATTAACTGTTTGTAATAATAAATGAGAAAGGCTGTTGTTCGTCACTTTTTAAAAAAATGCTTCTTTATCATAAACATCTGAGACTAATTTAGAGAGAGGGGTTTTTAGTCTTCAAGTTTCCTTTCTGACTTTGAACAAGTTACTTACAATTTCTCTTTGCCTCACCTGTCTCATGTATGAAATAATGGTTGTCAGAAGATGATGTTATCAACAGCTAACATCTACTGAGTCCTCGGCAAGTGTTAGGCACACATGACATGCAATATGTATAAGCTTGCAGCTCAACAGATACTATTATTTAACCCTGTTTCCAGATCTGGTCATCCAGATTCATAGAGTTGAGTTCAGCGCTCGAGCTGGTACGTGGCAGATCCAGAGTTAAAACCCAGATCCACCAGACTCCAAAGTCCATGCCTGTACTGCCCCGAAGTTCCCTTTCCAGCTCTAAAAATCAAAAGCCTAAATGAAAAAACTCTTCTTAAAAAGCAAGAGGAAAATGTTTGTCCCAACCATTAATGTGAATAAATGAAAATTCTTAATTTTTGAATATGTTGGTACAAAATTGTGGGTTTTGCTGCTATTTTCAATGGCAAAAACTGCAATTATGTTTGCACCAACCCAATAATTCTAATTTTCTATATGAACTACTTGCCCATAATCAATGAATGCATTTTAGATTGGTCTCAAAATCTTACTTCTAGAGAAAAAGCACACTGGAATTCCAGCCAAAGGTATCCCCACCATAGGTATCATCTACTGCAATGTGGGCTGACGCTCACAACTGTGGCATGTCCTTTCCCAGTATTTCCCTGCACACAGAAACGCCCAACTCCCAACACAAATTCCAAAGAATATTTCTAACTCCTAGGTCACTTTTACTATCTCAAGCAAGATTAAAGCCTCAGTTGTTCCACTAAAGTCATCCTTGGTTCTTCTTTCTCTCACCCTCACTTCTAATCCATCAAAATACATCCAGAATCCAACCAAAGTCCTGTTAAACTGTGTCAGAACACATCATTCCTTGGCTTTACATTCTGCAATGGCTTTCATTCTCTCAAAAGTCCAACCGTTACTGCAGTCCTCAGAGCCCATCACACAGAACGAAGCCTTTACTTTTCCCCAGTCCACCAGCCTCTTTTTGACTAATAAGTATCAACTAACAAATATGTATTTGAAGAAAAACAGGAGAAATGGAATACAGGTTGAGAATCCCTTACTTAAAATGCTTGGGACCAGAACTATTTTGGATTTTGAGTATTTTCAGATTTTTGAATATTTGCATCATATACTTCAGCATCTCTGATCTGAGAATCTTAAATCTGAAATGCTGCAATAGGCATTTCCTTTGAGTGTCATGTTGGCACTCAAAACATTTCAAACTTTGGAGCATGTCATATTTCAGGTTTTTGAGTTAGAGACACTTAACCTGTATTAGAATGGGTTAACGACTATATAAATTTATGAAAATCAAAACAAAAAATAAGAGAGTAAGGCATATTTCCAGTCCTGAAACTTTACTGTGCTTGCTCAGAGGGTCTTGCTACCCACTATACCAGAAAATACAAAATAAATGAGCATGTATGTTCAAAAATGACACTGACCCACAGATTCTGGAGGAAAGGAGGGCCATAGTTTCGGGTGTGAGACGTGAAAAAGCTTAAAAGAGTTAACAAAATGGGAGCTACATGAGTAGGAGTCCTACTCGTCTCAGAAATTCTATCAACAGCCCCTTAGTCTGGTCTGAGTCAAGTAACAAAGCAAAGCTTTCAAATGTCTCCATCTCTGTGTTAGTCTGGCAACCCTAAAACCTTTGTTACTAAAAATGCATGTGAAACACGCTCCTAAACTATAAACCTTTGAGTCTTAATTAACATTAATGACAGCTCAGGCTCACCACCTCTATGTCAGGTACTATGCCGACCATACCTATGCACTGTCTCCCCAGCTTTGCTTCACCTGCGTTCTCCCTATATCTGCTGGTTCTACCTCTTGGAATCATTCAAGTATCTTTCACAACCCCCTTCCATGGGCTCCTAAAACGGCACTTTAGGTAACAAAAATTACTATACAAACTTAGTTATATAAATTTAAGATTGTATCATGAGAGTCGTATTTTCATCCCAGGATTCCAATACTTTCACACTACCACCCTGAAACCCATCTTTATACTAAACCTAACAGTCTCAAAAACACTGATTGGCAAACCCACCCCCAGGCTTCTCCAAAAGCTCATGCATATACAAGAAGATAAACCAAAAAAGGAATTAATCTGTGTAGTACTCAATCATTCTGCTAACAAAATAGTTTTATATTAGTTGTGATTATAATAAAATGGGATAGATGTGCCAAAGGACGACAAGAAATATAAAACCATCAGTTTCCCTGAGAATTGTCAATAAATAATTCCAAATTACCAGATATTAAAAAACCAAAAGAGAAACAGAAGCATCATCTGTGGCTGCTAAGGGTGTGAGGGAATGCCCATTAACATCCAGCAACACAAATCAACTGATAAATTCACTCTAAATCCAGAATGAACTGATAAAGACAAACAGGGAAAAGAGGAGAATCCACTTAGTCATCCTCATAAAAATTCTTTACATATAAATTACTGCCCTTAATTGTAAAAAAGGAAACTGCAAACATAAAATCTTTATTACCAATGTGGCCCAGCTACTTTCCTTACATAAAATGTTAAGAGACAAAACAGAGAGAAAAAAAAGAAAGCCAAGGAGTAAGGAGATACTGGTATCTTCATCAAGCAGTAGCATTCCTGTCTATAGAGAAGTAAGAGTATTCCTGGCAACAACGTTCCAGGTTCTACCAAGCCTAAACAAAGCCTAGGAAAACGGTTAACTTTATTTTATTTGCAGTACACAAATGTTAATAAATAACTATTAATTTAGTTTGACATCACACAAGAATGTATTAATATCTGTTACCAGAATATTCCCTTAATAAATAGATTAACATTCTGCTCAATTATTCTGCCAATCACGTTTGGCTGGTGTGAGTAAGTCCACAGAATCTTATCAAAACTAGTAAAATGGATAAAATCAAGTTCCTAAACCTGAAAATTAGATATGAGGGAAGGGGAGGGGTGAAGAGGGGCACGGAGGGGAAGGGAGAGAAGGGGAGGTCCAAAGAAGTGATGTATGCTGTATGCTGGCCACCATCACATAGCTTGCATGGCAGCAGGACTGAGGTACAGCCAGCATTAACTGGCCCCAGACCTGGACCTATATCACCATGCTCTGCTGGGAGTTTGACACTAATTATTTTTCTTTGATCATACAACAGGCACAAGAAATGCTCCAGAAGAAACGAATAAATAGCTAAATAAGAAATCATTAGTGACTTGAGATCATCACCTACCTAGACAGGCCTGGCAGTCAAATACAAGAATTCTTACTGCTCACAAGGGACTCCAAGGCAGCTCACACCCCACACAGTGCCTCTTCAATCTCCTCCACCATGTCTAGACACCTGTATGCCCTACACAGTGCAGCGAAAACATCTAGGGGATTACAGCAGGACATGAACAGGTTCACATTTCAACATGACAGACGTATCCTTGAGTGAATTATTTAAAGTCTATGTGAACTCAAATCTCTACACTTATAAAATGAAAACAACAAGCTTGTTTTGAGGATTAAACAAACTATATAAAGCAACTCATGCTACCTGACACAGGGAAGTGCTCAACAATCAAGTGTTCTTCTTTATAGTCTCTTCCACTAGAATATAGCTCTTCTGAGACAAGGAAACCTCTTTTATTCATTATTCTAGGTCCTCCCTCAGAATCCAGTACAATGCTCTGCATTAATGATAAAAACAAATTTGAGTCAAGATGCCCAATAACAAGATCCAATTCTGCCAGCTGTGGCTATCTGTTCTCAACTGATGAGAACTCCGGAAAGCAAAACTTAAATTTGTAAAGTTTTGCCAAAATTTCTGCCATAAAGTCTCAAGGGCAGAATTAACATTCTAATATGTTGCAGCCAAACTAGTTATAATTTTACAAAGAAAGATTTAAAAAAAAAAAGAGAGAGAAAAAAAGCACAGCTATAAGTTCTCAATACCTAAATGAAGAGCCTACTTGCAAGCAGTATGCTTTCAGAAAGAAGTTTCTGTTTACAATAGGTAAGATGGTAACTGCCTATGATCACTTTATCTGTACAGTCAGTATACGATGGTCATCTCAGTATGTCTCAATAATTTAGTTCAAAGGGAAGGAAAAATTTAATGACATTTCCTTTCCTTAATGGTTATTTCTCCTTCCCAGAAAACAAATTTCTTTGGTAAATATTTACCTTGATATAAACTTTTCCCTGAGAAATATTATCATCAATGATTACTGAAACAGAAAAACTGATTAAGGTCAACTCCAAAACAAAATTCTTTTTATGCTTATTAAAAGAATACAATAATCCAAAACAAGAAAGAAAGAGAAAGAGAGAGAGAGAGAGAGAGAAAGAGAGAGAGGGGCAGGGAGGGAGAGAGGGAGGGAGGGAAGGTAGGCAGGAAAGCAAGCAAGCTACATTGTAAAATTACTAAAGAGTCAATACAAGAAATAAAGATGGAGATTTTCTTTTAACTATCAGTATTTCATTAATAAAATTGACGATCAACTGGCTTTATTCCCCAAGCCAGCAGAAATTCTCCAGGGCAACCCTAAACCACCTTTTGATAAAGCTAATCAGAATCATTCATTCTAAAACTGAAATAGGTCAACCATGTACAATTTACTTTTCTTCTATCTTTAGCCCTTACATGAAACCCATGTCCTAGCCTGTAGCAAAACAATGCTAACTTCAAACAGATCACCAATTCCTATTCCCCATGGAGGAAACTGATGGATTATCCACTTTATTACACACACACACAACAAATTTATTTCTTATGATGGTGTCTACAAAATATATCCAAAGGTTAAAAAAAAAACAATTAT